TGCGATCTCTACCACTCGATCAAAGACCCAGGTTCGAATCCCCACATGGGTACAATGTGTGAAGCCCATTTCTGGTGTCCCCAGCCATGATGTTGCTGGAATATTGCTAAAAGCAGCGTAAAACCAAACTCAGTCAGTCAGTATGATCACTTGAGAAGTTATCAAAAAGGTGAACATATCAACTCCACCAGCAGAATTTGAGAACAGTCTTCCGTTGGTTCACTCTGTGCACCAAGCAGTGATCATTTGATGTGTTAACAATGGGGTGAGCGTACCTGCTCCATCAGCGGCACAGAGCATTGTTCTGTCGGTTTGCTCTGTGCATCAAAGAGAGATCATTTGTGGTCTTACAAAGGAGGCAAGCGTATCAGCTCCACCAACAGCACTTGAGAGCAGTGTTCCATCAGTTCACTCAGGTGTGGGTGGATGTGTGAGTTTGAATAAAGCACATGATTTCTGGTGCCTGATCAAGCCTCTCAGGTACACATACGTCTTGCCACAAACACACTGACAGGTCACGTTGTCATGGGCAGCCGCTCGGTGCCTCTGGCAGTCATTGGAGCGGGTGAAGAGCTGACCGCAAACATCACACTGAAAGTAGTTCTTATCTCCCTCCGTAATCTTCCGAGCTGCGTTGTCAATTACACCCTGTTGACGACATACACTGAACACATCTGACATAAGCCCCAAAGTCTTTAAGTCGTGATCGCTTCTTGACACAGGAAGAAATCCACCTTGGTCTGCAAGCAAAGAAAAACGACTGATTGGAAAGCTGACTTGACCGAGGTAATGGCGATTATAGTGTGGGTGTTAATATGGCTTGGGGTAGTGTAAAAGACAAAGTGCCAAGAAGTTACAGCAGTTAGCCCAATAGGCACATCCCATAGTCATGCAAACATTCCAGGATGCAGGGTTTGAATCCAATATTGGTTCCGACTATGATCCTTGGTTTGTCACTGCCAAACCTGTGATTATGGGTTTGACAAAAATGTGATAAATGACAAAATCAAAGAAGTTTTATGCCTTCATCCATCATAAAACTTCTATGCCATGATATAAGGGTCATTAATTACTTATGAATAATTCATCCTTAACAAACTGAGTAGTGTAGAACTGAAACCCTGATCACAACTGTGTTCAACCTCACTGACACAAAGTTTGAATGATGTGGAATCCGAGGTGATTAGGTGATAAAGTTATTGTTTATATTTGTTTGTTGATTAATGCCGCACTGAACAATATTCCAGCTATATGGCAGTGGTGCGTAAATAATCGAGTCTGGACCACACAATCCAGTGATCAACATCACAACGTCATTCTACACAGTTGGGATACCATGATACGAAACTTGCAAATGTGCATCCAATATACACAAATGTAGAGAATGGATGCAGAGAAAAAATTTACTGCTTCCAGGAGGACGCACAATATTATTCACTGTACCCACAACACATCTATATGACTTTGCTAAGTGTTTGGTTGTTTCTTCAGAGCATCTTCGGACCACTTCAGTGGTGTAATGGTTAGAGCGTCGCCCCACCAGAGCGGAAGATATCGCTGGTTCGATCCGGGTTCGCCATGTCAAAAGACGTTAAAATATGGTACTTGTTGGTCCCTGCCTGGCGCTTGGCATTAATGGGTACAAGAAGGACTGGTCGGCTCGGAGTCAGTATAATGTGTCTGAATGTGTATAATGTGGGGTATTCATGCTTCACTGAGGCATGGTATCTCAGTGGGCTAGCACTATAAAACCAGCTTAAGTCTGGGCTAGTACAAGCAGCCGCACATACACATACACATGCATGCACATCGTCATATGAGCGAAATATTCTCAAGCACGACGTTAAACCCAATTCCACCACCACCACCCCAGAGCATCTTCTTTTTATTCTTGAGTACAACGTTTCAGGGCTTGTTCTGGCCCCATCATCAGGTAAACCTGAGTACATCTTGAGTACAAGCCCTGAAAACATTGTTCAAGAATAAAAGAAGATGGAAAAATCTCTATGTTTATCAAATAGCATCTTCTAAAATGCCAATCAAGCATCTTTCAGGTGATGAGGTGAAATTGAGTTTTCACGTCAGACTTGAGAATAACTCATAATGTGCATGCGTGTGTATATGTGTATGCAGCATTGTACTAGCCCAGACTGAAGCTGGTTTTATAGTGCTAGCCCTCTGAATACCATGCAACATGAATCATGAATACCCCACTCAGACAATTATACTGACTCGAGCCGACCAGTTATACCCATTAATCACAACAGCAAGTACCATATTTTCTTTTGGTTTGCCAACCTTCCGCCCTCCGGAGCATCTTTCAGAGCAGTTACATGCATCATTTCATCCATCAGTCCACATGATCAATGATTCATTCCAGTCTCTAAAGAAATTATCAAAACATACAGTTCTCTACACCGTTACTTCACAAGACCCTCGTATTGCCTGCAAGGACCTTTAAAACTAATAATTAGGGGACAGGACAATGAGGCAAAACCCTGTACCCAATCCTGTTAGTCGCCTCATATGACAAGCATGGGTTGCTGGAGACCAGTTCTAATTCTGGATAGTCACGGGTAAAAGCTATTGTGTATTAAAATTTGAGGTAGCTTAGCTGTGTATTAGATACCTGTTGCAATTTGGAATGTTTCCAAAAAATAAATAAGACATACAATTCAAACGGGTTATCAGCAACACTTGCATTGATGCACAGACGATGTTTCAAATCAGGGGCGGTGGGGTAGCCTAGTGGTTAAAGCGTTGGCTCGTCACGCCGAAGACCCGGGTTCGATTCCCCACATGGGTGCAATGTGTGAAGCCCATTTCTGGTGTCCCCCGCCGTGATGTTGCTGGAATATTGCTAAAAGCGGCGTAAACCAAACTCAGTCAGTGTTTCAAATCATCAATACCAAACCTCAAGTATTATATCAAGTTCTATATTCAGCAGCATGTGCAACCTGTTTTTGTCTGGTGCAACAAGGTTATTGCCCAAGGTTGCACAGGGTGCAAGCACGTTTCAGTTCCTGAAATCAGAGTCGTGGTGTGCATGTCCTGCTCAAGCTGAAGCACCTTCAACTCCATCTTCAGAAGACTTATAGTCTGTTTGCAGTGAAAACGTACCGATGAATTTCATTTTAAACAAAAAAGTAAATCAAATAAAGTGAAATGAAGATTGCGAATCCTCATAATTTTACCTTGCCAATTGAACTTTCAAATCTCAGAATTTTATTCAGCTTAGGATAAAAGCTGTTTAACAAACGATCATAGTTTCAAATCGCTATTATTGGTTTGTATTACAAGGGGATATGTGCAGTAGTTGGAACAGTGAAACAAATGCACGTGCGGTACGTGATGAGCGTTAACTTAGACTACTGTAGAAACCAACCCTTCTTGTTCCCGGGGTTTCATTTAATGTGCATACCCCCTTGTAATAGAAACCAATAATAGCGATTTGAACCTATGATCGTTTGTTAAACAACTTTTATCCTAAGTTGAATAAAATTCTGAGATTTTAATGTTCAATTGGCAAGGTAAAGTTATGAGGATTCGCAATCAAAATTTCACTTTATTTGATTTACTGTTTTGTTTAAAGTGAAATTCATCGGTACGATTTCACTGCAAACGGACTATATGTATTCTCTATATTCACTTGAAATCAAAGATACATCATTCATAAAGTGTAACATGAAAATATCATCAACAGATATATTTTCTGACATTTTATTACTGAAAAATAATTGCTATCCAGCATTCACCCAGCGTAATGACAGGATACATAACAGAAATATTTGAATCCAACCTCAGCAATACATTAAGAACAAAACACACACACAAGATGGTCGCCCAAATAAACATTTTTGGAAGACAAACCATTACTTAAGAAATACAGTTCGCTCTACCACCATGTATAGTGTAATACAGCACACTTTCGCCCTGAACTATTATAGTTAAAGCACGAGGACGCTTAGTTCAGGGCGAAAGTGTGCTTTATTACACTATACATGGTGGTAGAGCGAACTGTATTTCTTTTCTAAGATGCCAAATTTAAAACTTTCTAAGGATAATTACGATTAATCTAAGGCAGAAAACAATCGTCGGTGTCGGTGACCTAAATTAAGAATCCTCTCACAGGGCTAACTGGTGCGCTGTTCTATTGATGTGTCTGCACCCCTATGTTAAGACGCTCGTTACCAGAAAAACAAATGATAAAGTTTCATGACGGTTTACGTTAGGATTAAATATCTTCTCTATAATTATTTTAATTACATCTGTGATTTACGTAAACCATTTGGGGCAATATGAACGTCACATTTCTACTACCAACGTAAGTTTAGATCAGTACATCCAGACGAAGCTGAGTAGTCAAGCGACATTCCACGATTGCATTGTGGGAATGTAAACATTACGAACGTTACCGTGTTGCTGAAAACTTGTGAGTCGAATTGAGACATTTTAAACGCCAGAAAACATGAATGTAATGTTTCCACCAGTGACGTTAGCTGCGTGAAGCAACTGCAAACCAAGAAACGGGATGCAACGGAGTAGTTTACTGTAGGAGGCTGTACGAGGCGATGACAACTGACATGCATTGTGACGTCGGTTACATTGTGACGTAATGCAAATTTGTTCGATTACGAGGGGGCACACTAGAATGGCATTACATTGTGATGTAATGCAAAAAGTGCACATAATCGTCTGAGTACTGTCGGCGCCTTTGATCTTTCACCGAAGCATCTTAGAATTCCATATCAAGAATACTTTCTGCTACAAACATAATCTTTGTAATCCATGTTACTAGGCATTGGTTGAAAAAAATCCACAAATCCTAAAACTGAATTGCAAAAGTAAAATTCGAATATTACTGTTGATAATATACAATAAAACAAAATGTTTACTCAAAATCGTATGTAGTTCACCTACTGGGGCCAATTGCATAAAGGGATCTCAGCACTATGACAAATGTAACTCTCAAACTTTAACATAGACTTACGCCTAAGAAGGCTTTGTGCAAGTGGCCCCTGGTGTGTGAAATGCCAAAAGATATTGCAATAAATTTGTATCAGCCTACAAACAGAATTCTCTCACCCTAAACATACCATGTACAAATGTAGCCTTACTGAACCAAACAAACTCAAGTATGTTACAAAGGCTTGACCAAGAATAACAAACTTCCATAGACACTATCAAATATATTTGTATTTAAACTACTTCCATATGGATGAATGTATTACTGATATTGAACATATCCTTGCAACATTCTGCCTTATCATCCACATCATCATCATCATCATCATCATCATCATCATCGTTTTAGCACACACAAGACATTTCATTAATCTTCACTGTTCCTTTAACACACAAGAACACACTACCAAATCTCATAGTGGAATTTGGGATAAAATTTTCAAGACAGTATGTGCTAGTGCAGGGTGAAGGCATGCAAAATTAATATACCGGCACTGTTTAAGAGTTTGAATCTCATTCCTTGTATCAAAATCAACTATGTTTTCAAAAGATCATATCAACATCTTTTGGATCCTTAAAGGTCGATATTTTCTTTCTTCATCAATTACTGACATAGAATCAGAGTCAGTTATTGACATGAACAGATTCTACTGGGTGTGAAAGGTAAAATGGTAATGAAGAATGGGGAGATAACGCCTGTCTTCTCCTGCACAACTGGATACCATGTCACTATTTGAAATTATCCTGCAGCAACAATGAGTACATCAATGTTTCATGTTATCCTGCAAAAACAATGTTCGACTGTCACTGTTTGATCTTATCCTACAGTGAAAAGTGAAAACTGTCACTGTTTGATCTTATCCTGCAGTGAAAAGTGAAAACTATGTCACTGTTTGATCTTATCCTGCAGTGAAAAGTGAAAACTGTCACTGTTTGATCTTATCCTGCTGCGAAAAGTGAAAACTGTCACTGTTTGATCTTATCCTGCTGCGAAAAGTGAAAACTGTCACTGTTTGATCTTATCCTGCAAAGTGAAAACTGTCACTGTTTGATCTTATCCTGCTGCGAAAAGTGAAAACTGTCACTGTTTGATCTTATCCTGCAGTGAAAAGTGAAAACTGTCACTGTTTGATCTTATCCTGCTGCGAAAAGTGAAAACTGTCACTGTTTGATCTTATCCTGCAAAACAATGTTGCTGTCACTGTTTGATCTTAAAAGTGAAAACTGTCACTGTTTGATCTTATCCTGCAGTGAAAAGTGAAAACTGTCACTGTTTGATCTTATCCTGCAGCGAAAAGTGAAAACTGTCACTGTTTGATCTTATCCTGCTGCGAAAAGTGAAAACTGTCACTGTTTGATCTTATCCTGCAGAAAAAAGTGAAAACTGTCACTGTTTGATCTTATCCTGCAAAAAAAGTTAAACTGTCACTGTTTGATCTTATCCTGCTGCGAAAGTGAAAACTGTCACTGTTTGATCTTGCGAAAACTGTCACTGTTTGATCTTATCCTACAAAAGTGAAAACTGTCACTGTTTGATCTTATGTGCAGTGAAAAGTGAAGACTATGTTTGATCTTATCCTGCAGTGAAAAGTGAAAACCATGTCACTGTTTGATCTTATCCTGCTGCGAAAAGTGAAAACTGTCACTGTTTGATCTTATCCTGCTGCAAAAAGTGAAAACTGTCACTGTTTGATCTTATCCTGCTGTGAAAAGTGAAAACTGTCACTGTTTGATTTTATCCTGCTGCGAAAAGTGAAAACTGTCACTGTTTGATCTTATCCTGCAGCAAATAGTGAAAACCATATAACTATTTCATCTTATCCAGCAGCCAAAAATACAGACTATGTCCTGTTTGATCTTATCCTGCAGTGAAAAGTGAAGTCTATCAATCTACTTAATCTTACCCAGGAGCGAAAAATACAGACAAGATCACTGTTTTAGCTTAATCCTGCAGGGAAAAGTGAAGACATCATTCTTTGATCTTATCCGCCACCCCAACTGAGCATGTCAGTGTTTGAACATATCGGCCGGACCACTACAAGAATCAGTCTTCATGTGCCGGCGCATGTTCCTCAAATACCTATAGATCTTCCCACAGCCGCATGTGTAACTCATGTTACAGTGGACCGACAACATGTGGTCCTGCTTTACCCACTGTCTAGTGAAGGACTTGCCACACACTTCACAACGGTAAATCTGACTCGGGTTCATGGCAAATTCTGGGATATTGTCCACCAGACTTGGACCCATGGCAGGTGTGGGTTGCAAGTGCTGGTGTGATGGTGTTAATGTAGAGAGGGACATTAGCGGCCTGGTGTTTAGATCTATCTCCCGGGAACCAGATCTATCTGCAAGCCAAACAAAAGGAAACCCTTTAGATGAATTCAGTCAATTTTGAACACAATACAGCCAGTTTTAAGGGAAACAGTAGCCAGACCAAGTGTTTGCATATTCATGATGGTGCAAAGGAGCAGGTTTTACGCCGCTTTTAGCAATATTCCAGCAATATCACAGCAGGGGACACTTAAAATGGGCTTCATGCATTGTACCCATGTGGGGCATCGATACCCTGTTTTGGGCATGGTGAGCTTTAACCATTAGTGAGTGAGTGAGTGAGTTAGTTGGGTTTCACGCCGCTTTTAGCAATATTCCAGCAATATCACGACAGGGGACACCAGAAATGGGCTTCACACTTTTCCCATGTGGGGCATTGATACCCTGTTTTGGGCATGTGAGCTTTAACCATTAGTGAGTGAGTGAGTTGGGTTTCACGCCGCTTTTAGCAATATTCCAGCAATATCACGGCAGGGGACACCAGAAATGGGCTTCACACTTTTCCCATGTGGGGAATCAAACCTGAGTCTTTGGCGTGACGGGCGAACGCTTTAACCACTGGGCTACCCTTGGAGGATGGTGAACGTGCTTCAACATGTCTCATTTGTTTTGTCAGCATTCTTTCTAAAATTCATGCATCTGTTGCATCTAACCTGTTGGCGATGCAGTACTCATGCAGAGCTGACTGTTGTCATGGTGACATGATGCATGACTACACAACAAACTAGTCACCTGTGCCGGTCACTTTTGGCATAATGTCTTAGGATATCTCGCTTTCCCTTGAAACTGACACTTGTTCGTGATATGGGCACATGTGCACATGTGATGTATTTAATCTACAAAGACAAAAGCTTTCAAAGGTCAAAGGTTTGAAAAGCTGAGGAAATTATTTAATTGTCTCACCCTCATTGACCACAAACATCCCAAAACATAAGCATTCAATATATGTGTTTGGTCTACTTTACACAATAGAGGTCGGTCTAAAGCCTTGAAAGGTAAGAGTTCTGAGAAAATGAAGGAATTCATGTAATTGTTTCTCCCTCATTGACCACAAAATCATATTATATCAGCATTCAAAAGAAGTTGTTGGTCTACTTTACAGACTAAAGGCTTTTGGTTCTACCCAACATTAAAACACAGGTTACATTGGGTTTCTCCTTTGGCAAGTGACCTTGACCATTCTCTTTGGACAAGATAAACCTGCCTCAGATCATTCCACAGAAAATGGGCGAGATGGGAAGAGCAATGAAAAGATGCATGCATGGTCAATTAACTTAGGTGATAAACTTGACACAATATACACTACCCATCAAAAGTTTAGGCTCAATAGTGTAAATGTAGCCACTTACTTCAGTCAACTGTTCTAAACTAGATTTTGCTAAATATTCCATACTGTTTAAAGGTTCTGTTTACACATGAACTGATGCATTGTAAAACAAATTCGTAACGTTGAAAAGATTATTGTCGTGAGTTCAGTAAATGATGAAACTCGGTGAATATTTGTGAATTCTTAACAAATCTTTACACCAAAACGCAGCTGTTCACATGCACGATATTTGCAAACGCATTCCAGAATTTGATGCATGATCCTCGTGCAATTCATCTGCAAAAGGTTTGCAGTTGGTTCCCCTAAGTTGGTGGAGAAATTCATCTTCGGTGTAACCACATATATATATACAAAACATATAGGAGTGCTTTAAGAGAGTCTAAACTTTTGACGGGTAGTATATATTGATTGTTATTATGTTGAATCATCCACTGATATCTGACCAAATACAGTTCACGTATAGTTAGAACCAACTCCATGGGACCGCTAATTTTTGTTCGTTACAATCATACAAATATGGACTAAACTTTACAGTAAATGTCTAGGGCACCGTTGCACAATTCTGTGTTAAGCTATTAGAGTAACGATCACCTTGTCACTAAGATCGCTCCGTACAATGGCAACCAGGTCCAGAACCAGTATGTTATATTCGCCAGTTCGTCATAAACATGTTCGTACTGCCAGCACAAATGACAGACTCCTAAAAAGTCAGGATATTTCTCAAAACAAAGAATATATGCCCAAACTGCAATATATATCCCTGCAACACACCAACGTTCTTCTCAAATCACATTTTTGCCATACTGCATCCGTCGGATATATGTCTTCGTAAATTTCTCTGGTATCGATACACCTTCCCACATGGACATGAATACACAGCATTTTGATGAACAGACTTCATATGTATCTTTTTGTTACATTGCTGGGTGAATGTTTTCCCACACTCCTCGCACTGGTAAATATGACCTTGGGCATCACCAGAACCTTGACCTTGGCCTGACCTTTCGGTCACAGAGTGGAGTGAAAGTTCACTTCCACCTGAGGGCACAACAGGTCGGGGATGCAGCAGCTGGGAATGTCTGAACAAAGACTGGGAATAAGTCCAGATATCTTGTGAAGTGGAATTGGTAGGTAGCTGCTGATGTGAGCCAAATGACAAGTTGTTGTCTGAAACAACAAAAAGAGGGCTTATGAAGGTAACTGAAGATTTGGATTGTTCACGATTTTCACAACAGAACAGCTCCAATTTATATCACTGGAATCTAGTTGCCTTACGAAAATCTTCCATAAAATGTATTTTCATGTCCATAGCTTTGAGTGACAACAAAAGCATAAAGAGCTGACCTTCAGAATAAAGATCTATCAAACAAGTCACAGTAAGCAGCAAACAGTTTTCAACAAATTTTTAATAGATTCTTTTTGGCAGGCATGTTTTTGTAACTTATGTTAGATTTGGGATTACACTTTCTCAGTAAAGTACAAATTTTAGTACTTTTTTGAGTTGAGCCCCATCCGGGATTCGAACTCATATGTTCGTGTTTGTGCACTGAACAGGTATTGATAAATCCACTAGTCAGTCCATCTGAATAGCCACAAGAACGATGCATTTCCGAAATCTAGATATTTCGCAGTTCTCTTGTCTGAAATGAGCTAGTCTGAAATACCAATGGAAGCAGCCTCTGTATGACATTAGCCAGTAGATAAGCACGTAGACAATCCAGTATTTATGATTGTGAGCAACTCGACCCCAGAGGGGTACAAGGGCGTGACAACCACTGAGCCTTCTAACTCTAATCCTTCTAACTCTAATCCTTCTAACTCTAATCCTTCTAACTCTAATCCTTCTAACTCTAATCCTCTCAATGCTACTATCAAACACACGCACCAGAGTGTCACCACTTGAGACCTTATAAGTTGCTGGGGACAATTCTAAATTTTGAATCCATACAGATCCCAGTAGATTCAAGCTAAATATTTGCAAACAGGACAATATTTGTATACAGGACAATATCTTGTTCGATGACAGCAGTGCTTGTTTGCCACAGTGTTTTGTAACCATAATAAACTTCAACATGATAAATGTGTAACTGATTGGACATTTCAAGAATCATGACATGTTGCCACATTTTTCTATAAAAACATGATCCGAATTGAACATAGAGATTTTTCTGGGTTACATCTTTTTTTTTATTCTTGAGTACAACGTTTTAGGGCTTGTTCTGGCTCCATCATCAGGTAAAACTGATGGCGCCAGAACAAGCCCTGAAACGTACTCAAGAATAAAAAGAAGATGTAACCCAGAAAAATTTCTATGTTCATCAAATAGCATCCTCTAAAATGCCAATCAAGCATATGATCCGAATTGTTTGAGAACGTGTTTACTGAACAAATATATAAAAAGTCTTAAACTCTGAAGCACTGTAGGACTTGTAATTGTTGAAAATCTACTACTTTGTGTATGTTTATGACACATTACATCAAGCAAAGGAAGGTGCTCAGCATTGTGACTTCCTTCATCTTAAGGTACTTGGGGCAATTGACCGCCACCGTGGTGTAGTGGTTAGAGCGTCCGCCCGGAGAGCGGAAGGTTGCGGGTTCGATCCCCGGCTGCGTCTTACCAAAAGACGTTAAAATATGGTACTTGTTGGTCCCTGCCTGGCGCTCGGCATTAATGGGTACAACAAGGACTGGTCGACTCGGAGTCAGTATAATGTGTCTCAGTGGGGTATTCATGCTTCACTGCGGCATGGTATCTCAGTGGGCTAGCACCATAAAACCAGCTTCAGTCTGGGCTAGTACAAGCAGCCACACATACACATACACACGCATGCACGTTGTCATATGAGTGAAATATTCTCCAGCGCGACGTTAAACCCAATTTCACCTCACCTCACCTCACTTGGGGCAATTGAATGATGTTATGCAAGGGTTTTGTCATGAGGGGGAATGGTTACGAAACGCTCAGAATAAACTGATCATGGTCTGAGACAAGGTGATGTTGACACACCACACAAAAATGTTCATTTTCACTTGATGTCAACAGCTTATCAAGAATTCAAGTATCAGATAAACAAGCATGAGGTGGTTCAAACCAAGAACTTCAGAACCATACCAGACTGATGTTGTTCACCA